AAAAAAAAAAAAAAAAGACATGGCCCCTAGAACCTGCCTCCCACTCTGGTCTCCTCGGCCAGATCAATGATCTAAACCAAGTTCAGAGAGGGGAAGAGTAGCTTTGATGAGCAGATTGGTGGCGAGGTGGCCATGCTGTAAGTCCTCCCACTTTTTAGGGGGGCAGTAGATAGGATGTTACATTCCATCAACAAGCCTAGCAAAGGAGCCTGTGGTGAGCTTTGAGATGGGTTCTCTACTCTTGGAAGATCTAGACGACCCAGCTGGACCCATGCTTGAGAGAGCTAAAGGGGGACATCTAGAGTACAAGATATGGGTGTGTTGGCATGAGGCTGTATGAGTTTCCTGAGCACCCGACGGGAGCCAAGGGAGGCAGAGAGAGCTGGTGGGGCCATCTTGGGTCCCGTCCAATATGGCTGCCTGGCAACAGGAGGCAACCTCAGGAGAACAAGCTGGCAGAGCCCTGCTGGCAGCATGGGAGCTGAGGAAGGAGTCGTAAGCAACCACCAGGAATGGAGATGCATAGTCCAGGGTCAAGGGAGCTTCAGGGGAGAGGGAGACTGCTGGAAATTGCTAGAAAGCACCCACAGAGGCGTCAGCCATAACCAATGAAGATCAAAAACTGTCTTATTCTCTCACTTCTCCTCCCTCCTCCATCCCTCCCTGGTGGGGGCACAATTAGCAGCTGGCGATGGACTAGAGGGAACAGTAGAAGACCCCTGTCCTCCCCTCCCTTCCTGTCGCAGGTCCTAGCTGAGGGAGAGGGGAGATCATTCTCTCCAAATCAAATTCTAAACATTCCAGCTATTGAATTGTTTTATTTGCTCCTGTTGGGACTCAGAAAACAATACCCCAAAATAAAGGCCTTGAAACAGCCTCAGAAACAAACAAGAACAGTCTCTCTCTGCCCTCCTGCTATCCTCCTGTCTCTCAGTCCCGTTCTCCCCCGAAGCTAACCATAAAAACGAAAATCCCTCTTTCCCAAGGCAGGTCATGGAAACCAAAAGCCCTTTTCCCCAAAGCCAGCTATAAAACCTAAAAATATTACTCTAACCTTCCTTCTGCCTTCCTGTGTAAAAATTGACCACAAAGAAATTATCTGACCTGCTTTGTCTGACTATAGGGCGTAAGACCCCCATTCCAGAGAAGGTCCTGCCCACACCCGGGAGGAAGGAATGCACACTCAGGGAGTTGAGAAGAATCTAGACAGACAGGACTTGCTGGGTTTTTCCACGCGTCTATCAGCATTAGATTATATCCTTTTTGTTTAGTCATATTTCTACGTGACGGTTCATATTTTATTAAACCTAAGCATAAAAAGGGACAATTTCTGGCCAGGCACAGTGGCTCACACCTGTAATCCTGGCACTTTTGGAGGCCAAGGCAGAAGGATCACTTGAGGCCAGGAGTTCGAGTCCAGCCTGAGCAACATAGTGAGACCCTGTCTCTACAAAAAAATCAAAAAATTAGCCAGGTGTGGCACACACCTGTAGTACCAGGTACTTGGGAGGCCAAGACAGGAGGATAGCTTGAGCCCAGGACTTTGAGGTTGCAGTGAGCTACAATCACTCCACTGCACAGAGTGGAACCCTGTCTCAAAAAATAAATAAAGGACAATTTCCCTTGTATCTTTGGGTCTTCATTTTGAAGGCTCCCATGTATACATTAAATAAATTTACATAATTTTTCTCCTATCAATCTTCCTCTTGTCAATAATTTTCAACAAACCTTCAGAGGGCAAAAGAAAAGCTTTATGGTGGCCCCAACATTCCTTCACGTGACAATAGCACTGTATGTTACATAAAAACGAAATGAAAGGACAGTCCTGGGGCCCAATAACATCTTGGTCCAGGGCCAGAGGAAGGTGACTCACTTTTTTTTTTTTAGGTTTGAAAGGATGGAAGGAAACAAAAGTAGAATTGTGTTCGGGTTATGACAGTAGTTCTGCCTGTTCAGCAAACAAATTACTCATCTTATTGGGGAATAAAAAAACAACTAACTCATTGGAGCCCCAAGTATTATGGCACCAGCAGATCAGGTTTTTGGTAAACTCTACACGACGATTTTCTCACAGCCTCAAAGCCAGCGTGGCTGAGAATCAAATTTAGTTCTGGGAAAATCCAAAGCTTGTTACAATTCCACAGCAAGTACCAAAGGCATCAGGAGTGAGAACAAGAAAAAGGAAAGTTATGTCCGTATAGACTTGTACGTTGATGGTCATAGCAGTTCGACTCATTATATTGTCTAATTGGAAATGGCCCAGGTGTCTATCAACAGGTGCATGGATAAACAGATTGAATATATTTATACAATGAATAATATTCAGCAATAAAAGTGAATGAGCTACTGTTACACCCAACAACAAAAAGAATCTCAACAACATCACACTGAGTGAAAGAACTGTGAAATTTGGCTAGGTGGGGTGGCTCACGCCTTTAATCCCAGCACTTTGGAGGCCAAGATGGGGAGGATTGCTTGAGTCCAGGAGTTTGAGACCAGCCTTTGCAATAACAAGACTCCGTCCCTACAAAAAAAAATTTAAAAATTAGCCAGGCATGGTGGCGCATGCCTGTAGTCCCAGGTACTCAGGAATTCGAGGCAGAAGAATCTCTTGTACTCAGGAATTCGAGGCTGCAGTGAGCTATGATGATGCCACTGCACTCTAGCCTGGTTGACAGAACAAGACCCTGCCTCAAAAAAAAAAAAAAAAAAAAAACTATGACGTTAAATAATTCCAATTTAAAATAATTCAAGCTTAAACCTGTTGGAACTTTTAAGTACCCTGAGCCTTCAGAGGAATGTGGCTATGTGGCCTGAGTCATATGGCATGCAGCTGCAACTTTTGTCCTTTTTTTCCCTGTAAATAAACATCAAATGGCGCCAGAGATAAGACACCCCGTCCCTCAGATCACGACCCCTCTCAAAGTAATCTTCCTTGGAATGGAGCAATCTGTAACCAATCATTTCGCTGTGGCATATACACTGGTTTTGTAAAATGTTACCATCCTGCTAAAATTTCTATAGAAATGAAAGCTTAACTTCTCTACTTCGCAACGCTGACCCCATTTATTTGGAGTGGGTGTTTCCAGATGGCCATCCTCAAGCTTTCTCCTTGAACAAATCTGCATCTCATTATTTAAGATCGACAGAACCCGAGCTCAAAAGAACACATATGGTGTGTTTCCATTTAAATGAAACTTTAAAAAGAGAAATCTAACCTATTGTGACAGAGAGTAGATTGGGAGGTGCCTGAGGACAGAGATGGAGGGATTAACTGGGAAGGGGAACAAGGGAACTTTATAGGGTGATGGAAAGTTCTACGTCTTGATTGCGGAGGTGGTTACACAGGTGTGCAAATGTGCCAATACTCATCAAAGGGTATAATTAACGTAGGTGCATTTTAGAAAGGCAAATACCACATGATCTCACTTCTATGACTCTAAAAAAGTTGAACTCAAAGAAATAGAGAGTAGAATGGTGGTTTCCAGGAAGTAGGGGGCAGGGAGGGGCAGGATTAGGGAGATGTTTGTCAAAGGACACAAAATTTCAGTTAGAAAAAATGAGTTCAAGAGATCTATATCACAACACCGTGACTATAATTAGTAACAAATGATGTATTATATTCTTGAAAATTGCTAAGAGAATTAGCCATTTCTAGTGTTATTGTCCCTTTAAACTGTCCTGAGCCTTGAGAGGGATGTGGCTATGTAGCCTGGGTCACATGGCACACAGCTTCAACTTCTGCCTTTTTTCCCCTCCTGTAAATAATTAGGACCAAACAACAGCCTCAGAGATAAGACCCCCCCTTAGATTGCTGCCCATCCTCATGGATTTTAAGTGTTCTCACCATAAAAAATAAGCATGTGAGGTAATGCGTATGTTAATTAGCTTGATTTAGCCATTCCACAATGCACACATATTTCAAAACATCCTGTGCACGATAAATGTAGACAACTTTTATTTCTCAATGAAATAAATAAAATAAAATGTTTTAAATAAATAAAAATAAAATGGGTGCATTTTACTGTACATAAATTTTGCCTTGATAAGATTGACTTAAAAATGTTTTTTAATATACAACCAACATGTCACATAATATCACCATTTACCTACAGCTGAAAAATTAATAAATATTGATTAGGCCTACAACATTAGGTCCAGTCATCCACTGAAAGTTCAAAATAAGGCAATAAAGAAGAACAGGATATCCAAAGGCAGCCAAAACTCTCAGAAAGGCGTTGGGTATCATGCCCCTGGGCTGAGGCTGAGAAGAGGGAAGTGGGCGCCCAAACAGGAAGTGTGGCCGGAGACATGATGCAAAGTACGCAGCTTGCCTGACTCTTCGCCCCCACCCTTGGCCCGCAACCCGGAAGTGTGGCCCAGTCCTAGCGGCCAAGAGCGCACGCGCGCCACTTAGCTTGTCCAATCAAGAAGAAGTGAGGCGGGCGTTCGGACGGAAATAGTGTTCTCAAACAGGAAGTGTGGCAGTCTACTGCCTTCCTGTGGGCGAGTACCATGGCGGCCTACGAGCAGGTCCAAAAGGGAGCCCTGAAGCTGAAAGGCGTCGCAGAACTCGGCGTGACCAAGCGGTGAGACCCGAGAGCCCGCGGGACCCCATCTTCCGTTGCCCTTAGACCTTTTCCTCTGACACTCTGACCCATCCTCATCCGCCCCTTCTCTGTACCCCTTCCCAGGAAGAAGAAAAAGAAGGACAAAGACAAGGCGAAACTCCTGGAAGCGATGGGGACGAGCAAAAAGAACGAGGAGGAGAAGCGGCGGGGCCTGGACAAGCGGACGCCGGCCCAGGTGGCCTTCGAGAAGATGCAGGAGAAGCGGGTGAGGCGGAGAGCCGAGCGCGAGTGGTCGGGGGGCTGGAGAAGTCAAACGCTGGTTGACTCGAAGTCGGGGCAGCGCTGGGACGCTCGGAGGAGAGCGAGCGGTCCGAGGGGACCTTAATTTCGGGGAGAAGGTGTTGAGTGGGACGGGGGGGTTTGGCGTTAACCTTTCAGTGGATGGTAGCTGTTGATAGTAAATGGCCATGCTCACTGCTCTAAGTCACCATAACGTCTGTTTCCATGATGACTTTGGCAGATTGAATCATGTTGTATTTTAAGGCTCCAGTAAATTATTTTTCTTGATATTAAGCACTTAATAAATTTGGGTGATATGGGGCAGAAGAGGTCAGGCAGGGTAAGATAGATAAGCTTGACCTATTATCTTGGGGAAAGCGATGATCCATTTAGGTCAGTGGTTCGCAACTGAGGGCAACCGCCTCACCACCACTGCTGCCCCCCACACACACGTGGCAGTGTCCGGGACATGTTCAGGTCACTACTCGGCAAGGGAGTGCTACCAGCATCCAGCGGGTGGAGGTGAGGGATGCTGCCGCACATCCTACAATGCACAGAACACCCCCCACTCCCCCAGCAAAGAGTGATTTGGCCCCAAATGTCAATAGTGCCAGGGCTGAGAAACCCTAACCCCATTCTAGGTGTACAGTGACATTGGGGAAAGTTAACTCATTATTCCCGAATCTAGTTCAGGCATACAAAAACACATGGACTCAGCAGCTCTGACAAGACAGACCTGGGTTAGACTCTACCACTTGTTAGTGGTGTACCTCTGGACAAGTCAGTCAGTTACCTTCCACTTAAAGTGGTGCTAAAGTCTACCTCTTAAGAGCCAGGCGTGGTGGCTCGCAGCTGTACTCCCAGCTACTCAGGAGGCTGAGGCAGGAGGGTTGCTTGAACCCAGGAGTTCAGGATTACAGTGAGCTATGATCACACCACTGCAGTCCAGTTGGGGCAACAGAGTGACACTTTTAAAAAAGAAAAAAGAGAATGTGGAGGAAGAAAGGCTGATGAGAGTGGGTCTAAGAGAATGTGGGGAAAAACAGGTAGAGACGAGGAGTAGAAATAACTCTTTGGAGGAGATTATTATCCATCAGGTGAACAAAGAACTGGACAGAGAAATGGACCTATAGCTGGAAGGGGGTGGAGAGTGAAGGGGAAATGTTTGTTGTTGTTATTTAAAGTGGGAGGTACTGCAGTGTGTTTTGTTTGGCCTAGAAGAGAGGGAGTTATGAGAGATGCGGCAGGTGACAGAGAAGAGAGAGGGATGTGGACAGGGCCAGGTACAGTTGGGAAACGCAGATTCTCCTGTGGGCACGAAGGCTGTTCAGCTCCCAGGTTCCCGGGAGAAGGGCCTATAGGGGGACAGGGGCCTGGCATCTCCAGCCCCATCACCAGCTGTATAGCTGCTCCTCATTTTGTCCATCTGTGAAGTGGGGTTGGTGACAGCACCAGGACACCCTGTGAACGTGGTGCCTGGAGAATCTGGAGTTCGGGAAGGGAGAGCAGAGCCCGGCCAGGTGCCTGGTGTCATGTGACAGCTGAACAAGTCAGTGTGGTGTTTTGTGAGGAGACCCAGGCCTCAGGTGCGCTCACAGCAGCAAGAAGAGAGGCAAGGATGGACAGAGAGAGGTGAGGGGGGAGCAAAGAGGAGAGGAAGGACAAGGAAGAGCAGCCAGGCAAGGATGGACAGAGGGGGGTTGAGGGGGGAGTGAAGGAGAAGAGGAGGGACAAGGAAGAGCAGCCAGGTAGCAGCTACCAATATTATCTCATGATTCTTTGGGTTGACTGTGTTCAGCGGGGTGGTTTTCTTGCTGACCTCATTTGGAGTCTGGCGCAGTCAGATGGCAGCTGGGCCCGGAGTCCTCTGGAAGCACAACTGAGCTGGAAGAGCAAAGATGGTTTTGCCATCACTTGCCTGGTAACCTCAGTGCTGCTTTTGTGGCCTCTTCACCTGGGTCATTTCATCCTCCAGGTCTTATCTTTCCAGCAGGACCAGCAAACTTCCTGCATGGTAGTTGGCTTCCAGGGGCATGAAGCCAGAGTTACCTGGCTGTCTTATGGCTTCAGCCCAGAACTGGCACTACGTTCTGTTGAGTTAACTGAGTCCAAAGCCAGCTCAGAATGTGTGGCCTGGGGACTACATAAGGGATGAACAGGGGGCAGCACAGCTCCTGGGGGCCACCAAAGAGTCAGCCGCAGTCACCCTACCAGTAAGTGGAGAGCCAGTGCAGCCCCAGGTCTGTCTGGCTCTGCATCCCACACTCTCAACTCTTATACCAGGTACCAGCCTTTCCAGGAATCATCAGGTGTTTGGAGTGAGGGTTAGAGCAGGACGTGGTGCAGGGTGCACACTGCAGAACCACACTGGGGAAGGTGGTGTGCATCTTGTAGCCCTCCTGCGCACTGTGACTGGCCATCAAGATGGGTACTGTCACTCGAACATCCCACTCTATGTCCCCTTTACCTCCCTCATTCTTCTTCCTTCCTCAAACCCCATCTTGGCTTTGTTTTCCTGCAAACTGGGAGTGCTATCAGTTGACCGAGGATGCGGGAAACCCACGCACAGCTGCCAGCAGAGTGCGCTCGTGGATACATACTCAGTAGACATTTGTGCGTTTCCTGCTACTCATGAGGCTGGGACCAAAGGGCAACTTGACCCAGGTTCCCTGTTGGGCCACCCTGAGTGGAGCTGAGGGAGGGGGGCAAGGTGTACAGCCCGAAGCCTCCAGCTGTTCTGTATGTGAGACCAGGCTGGCTGGGGCTCCCACCTTCATCCCATGCCAGCCTGGGCTGCCTTGAGCTTGGGAACTCACCTCCATGTCTCTTCTCTCCCCAGCAAATGGAAAGAATCCTGAAGAAAGCATCCAAAACCCACAAGCAGAGAGTGGAGGTAAGTCACCATGCCTGGTGTGGAAGACTGAGCTTTTGAGGGTCCCGTTCAGGCCCAAAGGCTGGGAGCCATTGGAGTGGGAGGGGAGTTGACCCAACAGAAGTGATGCCTCCCTGGGGTCATTCAAAGGAGCGCCCAGGGTTCAGGTGTCTGAAAGATCTGGCAGAGTGGGTTTGAGAGGAGGCGGCTCACTCAGGAGAGACAGGATATGGGAGAGGTGGGGCTGGGCAGTGTCGCATATCCGGAGCACCCTCCTTGGGTCCGTGCCCACGCAGGCTTTCTCCTTCCCTTTCCCAGGACTTCAACAGACACCTGGATACACTCACGGAGCATTACGACATCCCCAAAGTCAGCTGGACGAAGTAGCCTCCCGGCCCTGGGTACAGAGCAGCATCGAGGCTAAGCAGAAGGCCAGGTCAGGGTCATGTTTGGTTCCTGGGGTATTTTCTAGAAACATTGCTTTACACACACCCTCGCATCTTCTGCTGTGGCAGTGCTTTTCGAAGCTGTGTAACCTCATCCTGGAACTTGATTAAAGACAGACTGTCCTTTTACTCAGGTGAGGTTTCTTGGTAGCACATGGAAGATATACCTTTTTGGTTTGGGTGGAAAGTTTTGAAGGTTCATCCAGAGGTAAAGGCCATTCCTTTGTGCCCTGTAAAAATGATTTTGTCCCCGAGTCACAGCTAACGCTCTGAGGCCAGCCATCGTCTTCACCTGGATGAGATGGACTCCAGAGGACAAGGAGCTAATGCAAGTGTGGTCTGCAGTGTGCAGACTCCTGCGGGACCCTGCGTGGGCTGCCCTGCCAAGCTCCCTCTAGCTTCGGGCTTGTGCTGTTCTCCCCAGGCCCCGAGAGGCCACTGGAGGCTTCATGGCCTTCACACTGCCTCCTCAGCCACCTGGCCGGTGAGACAACACAGCCTGGGTGGCAGAACCACCACCTGAGACAAGGATGGGTTATTGCAACGTTGGCAGGCGTTGCTAATTGATCACAGCACTCTCTGTAATGGAACCCGGACATGGCCTGCCTCACAAACCTCAGCCCAGGCTCTGAGCAGCCTCTCATGTTTACTCAGAATGGGCACGTCACACGGAGACAAGTGTTGAGTTTGGGGCTGTCGTGTGTAAACCGGAATAAAGCAAAAAACAGTTGTTAAATACAAGTCTGAATGTCTTACTATTACTATAGGCTAATCGTTACTGAAATGCTGCCTTTTGGATTTATGGCATGTGAAGAAAGTACATACTACAAAACAACTCAGTATGGAAAAACTTAGGTGGCACATCTATTTCCACCTATGGTTCGCACCTAAGAAAGATGACGTGCATTCATTAGTGGTGGCTGTTTTTGGCAGTGATATTCTCCCGTTGCCTGGTGGAAAGATAGTTATTTTAGTTATCCATCACTGTATAACCTATCCAAAATATAGTGGCTTAAAACAACAAGGATATATTATCTCTCAAAATTCTGTGGGTCAGCTGCTGTGCTAGAAGGTTCTTCTCCATGTAGTGTGTTTTAGTTCACTCATTTAGCCACATTGGCTTGCCTGGGGCCACAAAGTCCAAGATGACATCTGACTCTCCAGGATGTCTCCCCACATAGCCTGTCATTGGCCAAAGCAAGTCACATAGCCAAACGGAGAGTCCAGGAGGGAACCACACAAGGGCATGGACACCAGGATGTGTGGATTGTTGGGGGCTGTCACCATGACAGTCTGCCACAGCTGCCACACATTAGAATCTCCTGGGGAGCATTAAGAACCACTGAGGCCTGAAACCCATGTCTAGAGATTCTGTTTTAATTGGTCTGGGGTGGGGTTTGGTCGTTGGGATTTTTTTAGAGCTCCCCAGAGGACAGACGAATCAAAATTTGAGAAACCCTGCCCTACCGTAATAGGTATGGTGTAGTCTGCATTTATTAAGTATAAATAGCAAGGTTGAGATTCAGATGTGACCTGAATTGCCCCCACATGAAGAAAAAAGCGTCACGAGTAATTTATGTGTAAAGACAGTGCTTACTGTGGATGGTACTCTTGAGATTTGAGAGTTTGTTTCCTCCAAAGACATCCAGTCACTTCCAGCCCCCTTGATACTGATTTTTAAACATCTAAAACAAAATGCCTAGAGCAAACCTGGAAGGAAACGCTCTATAATGAGGGGCCACCTCTCTTAGTTAGTTTTTCTTTCTGCCTTATACTTTTTGGCATGTTCTCAGTCTTCCTTCAGTGAATGTGTACAGTTTTGTGTTTAAAAAAATTTTCTAAAACACTACAATAAATTGGGCAAAGTATGAAGCTAGATACAATAGGGTTCCTTACCCATCACATCTGTCACTGCTAACTCTTGCTGAAGAGGCCCTGATGTTCTTTCTTAGGCAGTAATCAGTCACAGCCCTGACGTGTGATCAGATTCCTTCCAGAGCTTATTCAATGGACAATCAGTATCAGAAAGCCCCTCTTGGCTGCTTGCTTTGTGCAAGAATGCTTCCAGCCCAGGATTCACTTAGTCGTTTTCAAATATTCCAGGGTTTTGGTTTGTCTGTCTGTTTTTTGTCTCAGGGTCTTGCTCTGTTGTCCAGGCTAGAGTGCAACCCCAAACTCCTGGGCTCAAGCGATCTTCCTGCCTCAGCCTCTGGAGTAGCTGGGACTACAGGCGTGCAGCAGCACACCAGGCTAATTTTTCTAGTTTTTGTAGAGACGGGGGGCCTCGCTCTTGCTCAGGCTGGTCTCGAACCCCTGGCCTCAAGAAATCCTCCTGCCTCAGCCTCTCAAAGTGCTAGAATTACAGGCATGAGCCACCACACCCAGCCCCACTTTTCTTCTCTGGATTTTCTCACAATTATATCTCCATCCTAAGCAAGGATATATAACCATAGATTTGCAAAAACCATTTTTTCAAACCCCAACAGAGATAGGAGGGAAGATAAAAGATATGCCAGAGGCGGGCAGCTTGGGTAAAATGGCTCTGATACTGCAGCATTAGGATCCTCAGGGTACCGTGATGGTTTATTGGAACAGAAGGCAAGCATTTCTCCACAGCCCAAGTGTTCATAAAAGCAAACTAGATATAATTCAACTGATTAATCAGGGGCCACCGTTTGCATTACCCAGGTGGCCACTAACAGCAGAAATAAAACGCGGTGCTTTTGATCTTGGATCAGGGGGCGTGGTTTTCATGAAAACATTCCGGGCAATAAACAGGATTTCATCTCATTCATTGATAAATGTTGACACTGACAGGCTTCATTGCCATTCCCAGAGTGTTTGATCTCTTTCCAAGTCATCGCCGCCTAACCCTTCCCCTTTTGACTGTGTACTTATTTGTTTCCTAGATTTCCCCACTAGATTGTGAGCTCCACAGGGCTGGGCCCCAGGTGGGTGCCCCCTCCAGGCGCCCTCGCCTAGTTTGGCCCACAGGAGGTGGTTTCCCGCTGCCCTGGCTTCATTGCTCGGCCCGGCAGCCAGAGGGTGCCTCGTTCGTCGGCCCCGCCCCTCAGGGCCTCACGCCCGGGCGCTGGGCAAGAAATACGGTCCCACAGGACATACTGCGCCTGCGTACATTGCGTCCCGCGCCTGCGCATTGCTGGCAGCTCCTCCCTGACCGGACATAACGGTCCGAACACGGATCCTCGAACCGGAAGTGGAGGCGAAGTGTCGCGGGGCGCGCCCGGCCTTGCTCAACAGCCGGCAGTCTCTGCCGCCACCGCCACCGCCCTCGGCAGCTGCCGTGGCCTCCCGCAGCCGCCATGTCCGCCAGCGCCGTCTACGTGCTGGACCTGAAGGGCAAGGTACTGACGGCTCCCCACCCTCCCCGTTGCCGGGCAACCGGCAGGGGCCTCCCCGCGCACACGGGGGACCCACCCTGTTGCTAGGTAACCGGCCAGTGGGCCCCACCCTGGTGTTAGGCAAGAAGGCCGGCAGTCCGGTTCTGAGGGCCCCACCCTGCTGCTAGGTAACCGGGCGGGGGGTCTTCAGTCCGGAAGCCCCGCCCCGTTGCTAGGTAACGCGGTGGGCCGCCGCGCTGGAGTGCCTCGTGCCCGGGACGGGACCCAGGCTTGGGCGAGGACCCGGAGGACCGGCCGCAGCCGGCCCTGGAGCCAGGCTGGGCACCCGGGGGCTGCGCGACCCTTGGCCGAGGGCGGCGAGGCGTGGCGGGGACAGCGTGCCCTCGAAGCCCGGTCCCGCCTTCTTCGGGTGCAGCAGCTTCTGTTTATTTTGCACTTTCTCCCCATAGGAATTTCTTAACGCGCATTGTGACTTCTGGTTAGTTACAAGAGTTCTGTGAGGTGGGTGGTGGAAGCGCCATTTTACAGAGGGAGAAACTGAGGCACAGAGCAGCTAAGCAACCTGCCCAAGGTCACGCTGGTCACAGAGAAGCAGCAGCTCCAGGAGTCCCACCCAGCATCATCTACCCATTCCGTCGCTATCTGCGAAACATCCACTAAGTGCTAGGCGGGGTGCTCAACCTCGGGCTGCCTTGTTAGAGCAAAATCTGCCCTGTCCTTAGGGAGCTCATGGGCTGGTGGGGGAGACGGTCACTAATCTCTGAGGGCACAAATAAATGTAATTTGCAGTGGTGGACCAGGATGAGAGAGGGTTTCCTGAGAGGCGAGTGACAAATCGCACCGAGACATGAGAGAGTTGGACGTAAACTAGGACCCAGACATCTTCCCCCAGGGTTACCTGAGAAAACTTAAGGGAGGGATCATTTCTGCCTTTCAGGAATGGGCTGCTTTCCCCCCCCCCCAAGTCCATCCTAGGTGGAAGGCAAGGGACTGTCTGGCCTCTCACATGTGGAAGCAACAAGCACCCACCCAATGATATTAAGCCCGACATTGCTCAGCGAGAGAAACAAATAGGTGTCGGGTCCCGGGTGAGGCGGGCAGGAGTTAGCTCGGAAGCAGTTGAGAGTGAGGAGGTGAAGTGGCTGCCCCTTCCTGCCCTACCGGCAGTGCTTTCCTTAAGTCCCCTGGGTGGGCGCCTGCCCTAGATGCCACCCAAAGTCAGCAACTGGTGAGGGCCCGTGCAGGGCTTCCTTCCCTGGCCTTCTTGGAAGCAGGGAAGACAACCTTCCTAGAAACCAGCGTGGCCACGTGGAGCTGGCAGAAGCCCTCCATGCAGTGTTCCCCACGGCCTTGTAGCATGATTCTTCCGCCCTGGCCACCGCCTCCCCAGAGGTGCCAGCAGGCTGCCTGTCTCAGCTCGCTTGCTTCTTCAGCAAACATCTCTCAAGTGCCCAGCATGTACCCAGTCCTGTGCCAGGCACGGGGTATCCATCGGCGCCAGCTGTCTCTCCATAGCTGTGGAGTCAGAACTAAGCTCAAAACCTGTGGCTGCTGCCCAGCTGTGTGAGCTTGGGCAATTGCCTTCTCCTCTCTGAGCCTCGCTTTCCTCTCTGGTGAAAAGAGGCTTTTGTGGGGTTTTTGCTCGGACTCGCTGAGCGGACGCTTACGACAGGCTCCGCACTGCCCACGGCTCGTGGTCCACGTCAGCCTCCACAGGTCTCTGGGCCTAGCAGGGGAGTCACATGGAAGCAGAGACATTACCCAACAGTTGGATCCAGGCAGCCACAGGGGCAGGGACAAAGCCCCAGGTGACACAGTTGCCCGACCTCGTCTTTGGCCAGCAGAAGGGGAGGTGGTTACGAAAGGCTCCCTGGAAGAGGGGGATGCTGGAGCCGGGTTTGGAAGGTGACCAGGTGACGGTCCAGTGGAAAAGAGGCGGCCCAGTGGGCACGAGGGGTGAGGGGCAGCCCCTGGGGCTGGCGAGCTGGAAGTCCTGGGCGATGCTGGTGCCTGGACTTAGGTGTTGAGAATGTCCAGATGGGAGGAGGGGACCAAGGAGACCCCTTCAATTCCGGGAAGGAGGAGCCACTGCAAACAGGCTGTAGCCTGGGAGGAGCATGAACAGACCTGCCTTTCGGGATGCACCCCAAGGCAGCCGTGGGCTCCCCTCCCCGCCAGCAACCATGATGCCCTTTATCATTCCTCTCCCTGCGGACCTCGTGTTCCGAAAATTCGCCTCCCTAGCAGACTGCGTTTAACCACAAATACAGCAATGGCACATCAAGCAATGCGTGCCCACATGTCTGCCAAGCAGCGCCTCTGATCACCGAGGAAACCAGCGTGGCCACGTGGAGCTGGCAGAAGCCCTCCATGGACACGTCTCCGCCTTATCTCCCTCGGGTCTCAGCAGCTTCTGACACCACTAACCCCTCTCCCCTCAGCACCTCCCTCCTGGGAAGGAGGAGCTTCTCTCTCTCTTTCTCCCCCTCTCTCTCCTCTCTTCCTTCCCTCTTCCTCCTGTTTCTCTCACCAACTGCCAGCCCCTCCTCCGCTGTCCTCCCTGTGGCTGCTGAGCTGCTTGGCCCAGGCATGCGTCCCCGTACTGTCCCTCTTCTTGGGTGGGCTTTGGTTCGTGTCAGTGGACCAATAGCTCTCAAATTTGCCCAGAGCACTTATCTGGAGATTCACTGGCCTCTGGGACACCATGGAGGTCCCACAGCCACTGCAAATTCAGCATTCCCCCCAAATGAACTCCCTTTACCTGCCTTCATCTCAGTGACGCCATCGTCCATTCAGGTGTCTGCACTGGACACCTGGGCAGTGTCCCCGCTTCCTTTTCCTCCTCACTCCCATAGTCACTGCACAAACGTTTACTGAGCACCTACTGTGGGCCAGGCTCTGTTCTGGGTGTTGGGACGTAGCTGTGAATAAGACAAGTAGACGCTGTTCTCAGGGAACGTCAGGCCATAAATGAGGATCCAAATGCGTAAAGCGGGGGGTGACAGGGACAGTGAAGATAAAGCAGGGTCAGGGTTGACGGGGATGGGATGTGATCTCTCAGCCAGGGCAGCAGGAAGACTTCTCGGGGGAGGTACTGACAGGCCGACGCTTGAGAAATGAGAAGAGCCAGGTCCTGGCATTCTCGGCAGAGAATGCAAGTGCAAAGGCCCTGGGGTGGGCACAGACGTGGCTGGCTCAGACACCGGCTAAGAGGCCAGGCTGGCTGGAGTGGAGTAAGCCAGGGCGGTGTGGACAGAGAGGCGTCGGAGCGGCTCAGAGCAGCCAGACTCCACAGGTCCTTGTGAGCCACCCGGACAGACTCAGTGCCCGGGGAGGCTGGGCTAGGTGGCAGTTTCAGCAGGGGAGAGACCTGATGCGGCTTCTGTGCAAGAAGCTCCAAGCAGAGCCTCTGACATGTCACCTGCCTCTCTCTGACCTGTCCCACGGGCCACAGGGAGAGACAAGGAAAGGAAGGTGCTTCCCCCTCTCTCCGCGGCCTGAAAGAACAAAGACGATGTATGTAATGAAATGGCAGGTTCTGAGGCAGACGGTTCCCAGGATGGTCAGCTCCGCGATGACGCCCTGCCGCTGGCTGTCCTCGCGGGCCCCGAGAGCAGCGGTCGCTCTAGGCAGCACCCCCAACCATAGCCGTGCCCAGGCTGGTAAAGCTTCCAACCTCCTTTTAGGTCCTTCGGTGTAATTTACATGTAATAAACTGCACTTATTTAAAATGTGCAGTTTGATGAGATCAGTCCCGTGTGTACCTGGGAAGCGGTAACCACACCCCCCAAAGCTTCTCCCGACCTCTTTGCTGTCCAGCCCTGCGCCCGGGCAGCCCCTGGGCTGTTTCTCGTCACCATTTCTAGGGTTTTATGTAAGAATGCAGGAAAAGCTCTGTTCTGTGCGGTTTCTTTCGCTCGGCGCAGTGGCTGAGATGCGTCCTTGTGTCGCCAGTCCGTTCCTTTTCGTTGCCGAGGAGCGGTGCTGATGGCGCGCGTGGGCCTTGTTTCCACGCTCACCCGCCGAAGGACGTTTTGTAAATTAAAGCTTCTGTAAACGTTTGTGTGCCAGTCTTCCCGCAGACGTGTGGTTTCGCTTCTCTCGTGTAAACGCCTGAGAGGAATGGCTGCGTCATACGGTAACTCTGGAGTAACTTTTGGGGAAGCTGCTAAACTTCACCGGAGTGGCGGTCCCGTTTTATGTTCCCATCGACGGTGGATGGGGGTTCTGGGTGCTGTCATCCTCACTAACCCGCAGGCTCTGAGACAGAGACCCGGAGGAGGGCTTCTCCTCGGGCCACAGGCGGGTTCCAGTGAACGAGAACCCTCAGCAGGGGACAGGTGCCCTGACAGAGATAGGAGAGCGGGGTGCGTTAGCACGGGAAAGGCTCTGAGAAGGTCTGCGTTGAGAGCCTGTGGGGCATTGCTTAACCTGGTGTCTCTGAGCAATTTGGCTGGACTCCTGCCCCAGGGCCCCCTCCCATCCATACCCTCCGGTGGACCCTGTGGAAGTTGCCCCTGAGGAAGACGCTCTCCTCAAGGTGGTCCCTGGGAGATGGAGATCGGAATGGCCCCTAGTCTCACCCTTTCACAGACGGGTCATGATCAGTGTCCGCAGAGGGAGGCAGGCTGGCACGTGTCACCCCGGGCTGCAGAACTCAGAAGGAAAGCATCTTCCCTCTTCCTTCCCCACGCCAGGTGCTCATCTGCCGGAACTACCGCGGCGACGTGGACATGTCAGAGGTGGAACACTTCATGCCCATCCTGATGGAGAAGGAGGAGGAGGGGATGCTGTCGCCCATCCTGGCCCACGGCGGGGTCCGCTTCATGTGGATCAAACACAACAACCTGTATCGTATCCCTTTGCCAGGGCGGCTCCCAGGGGACTGCTGTGTGTGCACGCGCGTGCGTGCTGACAGCCACGAGCACCTGGCCTGGCCCAGGGCTGGCGTGGGCACAGCAGGAGCCACCAGACACAGCCCTGTCCCCCTGGAGCTCCCTGCTGCCAGAGGAGATGGGCAGAGAACACACGACATGGGTGACAGGTACGAGGAGAGGAGAGGGTGTGACGGGGCCCTCATCTGGCCCGGGGACCCAGGAAGGGAGGTGACATCCTGGAGGAGACCCTCAGGAAGGCCAGCTGGAGGAGTAGGCAGGCACTAGGCCCGGGCAAAGCATCTGCAGGGGAAAGTGAGGCTTGTTCCAGAAGCTTCAGTGGGGGCAGCTGGAGCCCAGGAGAGGGGTGCCTGGTGGGAGCAAGGCTGGAGTGGTCGGCAGGGTCCTAGGCTTCGAAGGACATCATCTTAATGTGATGGGAAGTCTTTGGAGGGTTTTAGGCAAATTTGCATTTTGTGGAAGCCTCTGGCTGCTGAGTTGGGGCCAGACTGCTGGGGACAGGGGTGGACATGCGGAGGCCAGCTTCCAGGTGGGAGGGTACTGGCCTGGTGCTCCCCGTACAAAGAAGGGGAGAGACCGCTCGCTACTCCGCCCGCGCTTCCTGCCCGCAGGCCCGTGTGGAGCCCTGGCCAAGCCAGTTTTCATCCTCGAGGTCTGATTGGCCACCCCACAGCTTTGGTCAGACCTCCAGGCACACTGCGGTACCCACGCTACTGCGGGCAGGGCCTGGCTTTGCAGCGGACAGCCCCATTCGAGCCCCAGCTCCAGCAGCCACGGGACCGGAGGCGAGTCCCTCCCCCTGCCACAGTCCGGTGGCAGCACTGACCCCTCGCTGCAGGACTGTTGGGTCAGTCGAGCTGATACGTGCACATTGCACCCTGCAGGTGTGGGATCCGTGCCCCTCCCCGTGCTCGTGGAGACACTCGGGGCCTTGCTCGTACGGTGTGGCCCACGGGCAAGAGCGTCCCCTGGGAGTCTTTTGGAGACACAGGATCCCAGGCCCCCCAGCCCTGCCCGGTCAGCGTCTGCGCTATAGGGAGATCATTCCTGGTGACTTCCGTGCACATCCCGCCGTGGGCTGTGCTGGCTCGGGGCCCTCGTCTGGCTCCCCGTGGCGTGCCCCTGTCTAGACTTCACCTTGCTCTGGAAGGCCCCAAGGACAGCTCTCACGGGCAGCACAGGCAGCCTGTAACCCCAGGAGTTGGCTGCCCTCTGAAGCCACCCGCTCTGGGCCCTGGCTGCGTAGGTGTGGGGAGGAGGCTGGATTTCCAGATGGGCCCCTCCGTTCCAGGCACGGGTGAGTGGATGTCCTCTCACCCCCAGCCTGGGCCTTAGTTCTAATGCTGGGTGACAATTTCCAGCAAGGCCCTGGCCATGAGGTGCCCACTCCCCTCCTTATAAAGCACCTGGGGAGGGCATGCTGCCCGGCAGGGGAAGGGGGGCCAGCACTCCTTGGACCGGGCTGACGTCCATTTCCTGGGCCCCTGTGCTGTGCCAGGGTGAGGCAGGAAGTGAGGTGGATGTGGCCCCTGCCCTCCCTCCCTCCCGGAGCTTGCTGCTGGGCACACGAGTCAGGTGGCATAGACGTGTCCTGAACAGGGACGTCCAGGGTGCGGTGCGTGGCCCTGCGGAGAAGGAGCCGGCCTTCTCTGGTGGCTCGAGGCCCATTGGGGAAAGAGGAGCGGGAGCGCCCAGCACACCCTGACCCCGGGAGGCAGGGGCTGGCTCCCATGGTGAGAGGGAGAGTCTGTGCCAGCCCCTTTGTGTACATGACCTTGGCGAAGCCACTCGCAGGAGAGAAAACGGAGGTTTCTCTGAAAAGGTTTGCTTCAGGGGCCAAGGCTCGTGTTCCCAAAGCCAGGAAGGGCTAGAGCTGGAATTGGCCCTGGCTGGGGCGTGCTGGGCTTCAGCAGGGTCACAGGGCGGTCGGTGCTAGAGGAGCAGGGTCGATTGTGTCGTGCCTTCTGCGCCTGGAATGAGCCCCGCCCCTCTGCCCGCCCCACTCAGGGAAGCCCCTAACCCAGCAGCTGGGACAGGTGCCCTGTGCCACCTGTGATTCTCTGGGTTAACAAGCACTCCCGGGGGGCTGGGACCACATCTGACTGGGGACTGCTGTGTCCTGGGCCTGGCTCAGACCAGGAGCTTGGTGACCCACGGCGGGCCAAGTAAATGGCTGGGAGTGGGGCTGGGGAGGCTCTGAGTGCAGCGTGGGGGTGGGGTTCCTCCGGGAACCAGGGTCTGCGAGGTGGCAGCCCAGGCGTCTCAACGCTCCTTAACTGCGGCCGCCATGCAGTGGTCGCCACTTCCAAGAAAAACGCATGTGTGTCCCTGGTGTTCTCCTTCCTCTACAAGGTGGTGCAGGTGAGTCTTGTCGGAGGGGCCAAGGGGGGTGGGTGGCAGTTGTCTCGACTCTGCTCTCGCGCCTCCCCGTGCATGGCTGCCCGAGCCAGAGCCGCAGCATCCCCGGGGCGTTCTGGGACTGGAACCTCAGGAAGTGGGATGGCAGAGCCCCTGCCCCCCACCCCTGTGGAATTCTGTGGCCTTCGTTGCTCCCCCTCCCTGGTGAGGAAGAAGGTGAACAGGAGAAGGTGGGGCTCAGAGCAGGGGTGTGCCCTGACCGCGGGAGGGACAGGCAGGCCCCCCGGCCAGCTATGGAAGGATTTTTGGTGAAAACCGGGCTTGGAGAGGTGGAATACCAGCAGGGATGCAGAGCCCAGCTCAGCTCAGAGTCTCCCAGGAACTCTCAAGGCACACATAACCCAGGCCTGCCTTGGAGAAAATTGGCACATGCCAGGCCCAGGCCGACGATGAGATGGGGGCGACAGCGGCACATGCAAAGGCCCTGGGGCAGGAGTATGCCTGGGGCAGTTAGGGAAGACCAGGGAGGCCAATGTGGGACAGCTTGTGGGGCTGGACCACGGGGGGCTGTGTGGGCGTGTGGATTTCATTCCACGTCTGGTGAGAGGTTGCAGAGGGCTTTGAGCGGGAGACTGAAAAGACCTGGTTTGATTTAAAGCAACCTATCTGGGTGCTGAGTAGAGGAAGAACTTGCAGGCAGCGAGGAGCCTGCCGCAGGCTTCCAGGAATGCCGGTGGGGGCCTGGCCAGGTGGGGTTGGGGGGCTAAAGAAAGCTGGGAATGGGGCCCCGGGGGCCTGGGGTGGGCCCAGGAGAGCTTCCCTCCCTCAGGTGGTGCTGCCCGTGCAGAATGTCAGGAGGAGGGGCAGGAGAGTGGCGCGTCTGCCTGGGAAGCCCCCACGTGCGGGCCGGGGGCTGGCCGTCACTCTGGGGCAGTGGAGCCACCTCAGGCGGGCCGTGCCTGGCTGTGCTGTCCGTGATTTCCAAGCAGAGGCCCGGGCGACTGCAGTCCCGGAATGCCCAGGGACGCCAGCAGAGGAGGGAGCACGGGGATGTGGGCAGGGGAAGGTTCTCCCCAAGTGCTGGGCATTTCTTTTCTATTTTAGTGACCTTCCTTCCTTCGGTGTTAGTGCTAACAAAAGAGCTTCTGCCGGCTGGGCATGGAGGCTCACACCTGTAATCCTAGCTACTCGGGAGACCAAGACGGGAGGATCACTTGAGGCCAGGAGTTCAAGACCAACCTGAGCGGCCAGGCATGATGGCTCACACCTATAATCCTAGCACTTTGGGAGGCTGAGGTGGGGGGATTGCTTGAGGTCAGGAGTTCAAGAGCAGCCTCGGGATGAACGAGACCCTGTCTCTACTAAAATAGAAAGAAATTAACTGGGCAACTAAAAATAGAAAAAAATAAGCCGGTCATCGTGGCGCGTGCCTGTAGCCTAGCTACTCGGGAGGCTGAGGCAGGAGGATCACTTGAGCCCAGGAGTTGGAGGTTGCTGTGAGCTAGGCTGACACCACAGCACTCTAGCCCAGGCGACAGATCAAGACTCTTGTCTCAAAAAAAAAAAAAAAAAAAGACCAATTGGAGCAACATAGCAAGACCCCATCTCTAAAAAATTATTTAGATTAACCAGGTGTGATGGTGCACACCTGTAGTCCCAGCTACTCAGGATGCTGAGGAAGGAAGATCGCTTGAGCCCAGGAGTTTGAGGCTGCAGTGAGCTACAATTGTGCCATTGCACTCCAGCCTGGGTGACAGAGTGAGACCCATCTCTAAAAAATAGGGGAAAAAAACTAACAAAAAAAAAGAGCTTCTAACAAGCCCCTCCTCTTTGGCGTCCCTTCTTTAACCCTCTGAACTTTGTGTTGAAATGGGGCAGACACGTGCGCACATGTAGCTGTGCAGGCCGGCAGCTCACCAAGGCCAGAAGGTGGCTCTTGGCCCTCACCGGAGTCCCTGCTGACTCGGAGGCAAGGGCTGACTGTTACAGCCAGAATCAGAGGGCAGCTCGGGAGGGGCCCCAGCCCCCGGGGAGAAGAGAGCGGGATCGGGATGTGCCGCTTCTGACCAGGCTTTAGAGCACATCTGCGGCAGTGCCAGCCGGCTCCCACCGTACAGACAGCCACTGCCCTCCTCCTGCCCCCACCCCGGCCCTGTAGCAGGTCAGCAAGCCTAGAGAGTGGGCAGAAGGGCTGCTGGCTGGGGCCTCGAGGCAGGAGGGCAAATGCATTTGTGCAAGCATTTGTTCACTTCCCATCCGTCTTCTAACACCCGCCTGCCTCCAACACCACAGGTGTTTTCCGAGTACTTCAAGGAGCTGGAGGAAGAGAGCATCCGAGACAACTTTGTCATCATCTACGAGCTGCTGGATGAGCTCATGGACTTCGGCTACCCCCAGACCACCGACAGCAAGATCCTGCAGGAGTGAGTGGGCAGCGCGGGGCCGGGGGTCGGGCCTGGGTGCAGCAGGACGCTGACGTCCGCAGGTTTGGAAACGGGAGAAGCCAATGTCGTCTCCCCGTCCGCCCTCCCGTCTCCAGCCCTGTACGTGCTCTTACTAAGTTGCCCTCGGTGCTTTGGGATCCTGTTTTCATTCAACACCCGTTCATAACAGGAGTATTTTTCCAGTTGCTGGGTCTTTATTTTCTACCCACGTAGATGCGCCAAACCCCTTGCTATTAGGGAGTCACCTGCCTTTGTTTTTATTGTCGTGATCAAAATCTTCCTTCTTCGGAGTCCTGCCCCTCCAAGAATGGCCCACGTGGATCAAGCAGTTCCGGGGGCCAGGCCTGTACAGCACACTTTGCAATCCACAATCTCCCCATTCAGCCTCTCCCCACTGTGCAGGGAGCAGACAGGCGTGCAGACAAGCCTGTGCTCCCAGCCACCATGCCCATCACCCCCCAGGTGGGATCGGGGTCGCCAGGTTACCCTTGCAGGGCTCAGTCCCATCTGCGTGTCCAGCAGGGACGGGAACAGCTCACCCCCACTTGCTTTCCTCCCCACACTGTCTCCATGGTCCCCTCAAAAACTAATGCTTTAGGGTCATTGTAACTTGAGTCTGTTGGTTTTTTGGAAATTGTTAAGATTTTCTTGTGCTAAGCAGCCCCAGGGGGAGCCAGAGGCTGCCTTTTCTGGGCGCGATGGAAGTGAGGGCCTGTTTGCAAGTCAGCCAGGACCTGCCCCGTCCCACTGCAGCCCTGCCGAGACGTCAGGGCCCGAAGCTGTGGTATTGGTGCAGAGGGCCCCTCCTTACCTCTGGGTGTGTGGCCCCCCAGGTACATCACTCAGGAAGGCCACAAGCTGGAAACAGGGGCCCCGCGGCCCCCGGCCACCGTCACCAACGCAGTGTCCTGGCGGTCCGAAGGCATCAAGTACCGGAAGAATGAGGTGTTCTTGGACGTCATCGAGTCTGTCAACCTCCTGGTAGGCTTGCTTCCTTTCCCTCTCTCTATAAAATGTTGCTCCTCCACAATAGAAATAAACACAAATAATATTTTAAAACCAGCAAAGCCCCGAGAACCACGCAGGTTCCGTGTGGCAGCAGATCAGGGGTCAGTTTGGGCCACACAGTGAAACTCGAACTTGTTTTATCTTTATTAGCTTTTGTTCCGATTTAGAATCAATCCATGAACATTGCTTTAAAAAAAGCAGTGTATTGAGTTAGAAAGCGACGCGCTCCTGTAATCAGGAGGCCGCCGTCACTGTCCGCCCCGGGCCTCCTCCTTTAGATAGACAAACACACGTCGTTTTTCTGTAAAACTGAGCTCCCAAGATGTGGTTCTCCTGCAGCTTGGTGTTTTTTGTTTTGTTTTGTTTTTTGGGTTTGGTTTCTCTGTTTTGTTTTACTGTTTTGTGTATGTTTAGGTTTTTTTCTTAATTTTAGTTAAGTTATGAGTAAAGTTGGCCTTTTTATAAAATGAGTTTTCCTGCTTGTGCAGATTTGTGTACCCATCACTGCGGTCGGGACACAGAATCTCAAAACCTCCCTCGTGCTGCCCCTTTGTCACCCTGCCCTCCGCCCTCCCCCACGCCCTGGCTACCACTGGTCTGTTCTCCATCACCATGGTTTTCGTCTCTTCGGGATTGTCGTGTGAATGGCGTGGTGTGGCGCTGAGATCGCTGTGTGAGTGGCAGCATACGGTCTGTGGCCTCTGGAGTCTGGCTTCTCTCACCCAACGTGATGCCTTTGAGACTCATCCAGGGTTTGTTACGTGTGTCAAAAGTTTGTCTCTTTTTGTATTCATTTAGATTTATTTTATACTCTGAACCACAGGTTGTGTATCCACTCACCCATCAAAGGACGTTTGTGTTGTTTTCTGATTTTTGGCAATTATGAATAGAGTTGCTATAAACATTTCGTGTACAGGTTTATGTGTGGACATAAGTTTTCGTTTCTCTAGGGTAAATACCCAGGAGTGGGATGGCTGGGTCACGCGGTAAGTGTGTGTTTAACTTTATAAGAAACTGCCAAACCATTACCATTTCGCACTCTCACCCGCAGCGGAGGAGAGTTCCGGTTGCTCCGCATCCTTGGTCAGTGCTTTTATTTTTGCCATCCCGATAGGCATGTCGTAGCATCTCAGCACAGTTTTCGTTTGCATTTCGCTAGTGGCTAATGGTGTTGAACGTCTTTTTATTAATATGTGTTTGTCATCTGTATATCTTCTTTGAAGAAATGTCTCTTTGTGTCTTCTGAGCATTTTTAAATCGGGTCATTTGTTTTCATATGGTTGAGCTTTAGAATTGTATGTTCTGGATGTAAGTCCTTTGTCAGATACGTAATTTGCAAATATTTTCTCTCAGTCTGTAGCTTGTCTTTTTATTCTATTTAGCAGTGTCTGTCAAAGAGCAGGGGGTTTTAATTTTGATGAAATCCAATTATCAAATATTTTTTTATTGGTTGCGCTTTGGTGCTGTCTAAGAAGTCATTGCCAAACCCAAGGTCATATAGACCTAGGTTTTCTTCTAAAAGCTTTATATTAATAGTTTCACATTTAGATCTATGATCAGTTTTGAGTTAAATTTTATATAAGGTGTGAGGTTTGTATCCAAGTTAATTTTTTTTGCATATGAAATAATTTTTTGCAATTGTTCCAACATCATTTTTAGAGAGGTCTGTCCTTTCTCCACTGAATTGCTTTTGCACTTTGGTCAAAAGTAAATTGGCCGCATTTGTGTGGGTCTGTTTCGGGACTCTGTTCTGTTCCATATCTATTCCTTTGCCGATACCACACTGTCTTTGTTGCTGTAACTTTGTAGTAAATCTGAAAATCACATAGTATGATTCTTCCAGCATTCTTTCTTAAAATTGTTTTAGCTATTCTAGTTCCTTAAAATTTTAGAATCAGCTTGTCTAGATCTACAAAAATCCTGCTGGGAGTTTGCTTGGTATTGTGTTAACTCTATAGCTCAGGTTGAGGAGAACTGATATTTTTACCATATTAAGTCTCCCAATCCACGAACACCGTGTGTGTGTGTGTGTGTGTGTGTGTGTGTGTGTGTGTGTGTGTGTGTGTGTGTGTGTGTGTCTATATATATATACACACACACGATATATGTAAATATATTTGATACATATTATTTATATAAATATTTGATATGTAATATATATTATTTATGTCATCTTTGACTTCTTTCCATCAGTGTTTTGTAGTTTTTGCCATGGTGTAGTATTAGATTTATACCTAAGTATTTCTTTTTTTTTGAAGCTGTTGTAAATTGTATATTTTTAAATTTCAGTTTCCATTTGGACATCACCAGGGGATAGAAATATGATTGATATTTGTGTGTTGACCTGGTATCCTGCAATCTTGCCAAACACACTTCCTCTGGAAGTGTTTTTTTAGATTCCGTGGGACTTTGTGCCATAGATGTATTGGCTGCAGATAGGGACAGTTTATTTCTTCCCTTTCGATCTTTATGCCTTTTATCTCTTTCTTGCCTTCTTGCCTCACTAAGATATCCAGTACAATGTTGGATACAAGTGGTGAGAGTGGACATTCTTGCCTTGTTACTGATCTTAGAGGAAAAGCATTCAGTCTTTCACCATCGAGTAGGATGTTAGCTATGGGTGTATTGTAGATGTCCTTTTTCACATCGAGGAAGTTCCCTTTTATTGCTAGTTTGCTGAAAGTTTTCTTTTTTTTTTTTTTAATGAATGCTGTTGTATCTCGTTAAATGCTTTTTCATTTGTTAAATGCATCAGTTGAGGTGATCGCATGGGGTTTTTTCTTGAGACTGTTAATATACTGACAGATTCCACTGACTGCTTTCTGATTATTGAACCAGCCTTGTATTCTTGGAATAAGCTCCAGTGGGTCTTGATGTATTACGGGTTGTGTGTCCCTTATGCGAATGCTCAGGACCAAAAGTGTTTTGGAGTTTGGATTTTTTCGGACTTTGGAATATTGACATATACATACTGAGATATCTTGGGGATGGGACCCAAGTCTAAACACAGAATTCATTTATGTTTTCATATCCACCTTATATACGTAGCCTGAAGGTAAATTAGAAGCTAATTTTATTTTTCCCTTGGGATGCTGAAGAATCTGTGTGTTGTGCACTTGCATTTGGACTGCGACCTGTCACATGAGGTCAGGTGTGGGATTTCCCACCTGTAGGGACAGGCCAGTGCTCAAAAAGTTTTGCATTTTGGAGCATTTCAGACTTTGGATTAGGGATGCTTAACCTACATTCTTTTTATGGTATTGTTGGGTTTTATTTGCTAATATTTTGTTGGAGATTTTTGGATCTATATTCATATCAGTCTGTAACTGTCTCTTTTTTGTAATGTTTTCGTCTGGTTTTAGTATCAAAGTAATGGGGTCCTCATAAAATGAATTAGGAAGTTTTCCTTCCTCTTCTGTTTTCTGGAAGGCATTGTATAGAACTGATGTTAGTGAAACCATCTGAGCCTCGAGATTTATTTTTCAGAATGTTTTTAACTCTGAATTTCAATTTTTTGAATCACTCAGATTTTCTGTTTCATTTTGGGTGAGTTTTGGTAGTTTGTTTTTTTTAAGAAATTGGTCCATTTCATGTAAGTTGTTGAGTTTTATGCATAGTGTTGCTCATAGTATTCCTTATTATCTTTTTAATGTTTGCAGTGTCTATAGTGATATCTTCTCTTTCATTCCCGATTCACTGATTTCTGCTCTTAATCTCTAGTATTTCCTTCTCTCTGATTTCGGTTTATTTTGCTCTTTCCAGTTTTTTTAGATAAAGCTGAAGATAACTGGTTTGAAACCTTTCTTCTTTTCTAAAATAAACCCTTCATGCTATAAAGGGTTTCTCTCTATGTACTGGTAGCTAAAGCATCCCACAATTGGCATGTTGGATTTTCATTTTTATTCAAACTGTCTTTGTCAGATAATCCCAGCATCTGTGACAGTGTTGGCATCTGTTAAATTACTTCCTTTTGTGAGTTGACATTTTCTTGGTCCCTCATATAATTTTGGATTATATCCCAGAGTTCTGGAGTATTATGTGATAAGATTCCAGGTCCTATTTAAATTATATAGAAATTATTGATATTTTTGTTTTAACCAGCAGTGGATCTGGTTAGGGTCAGGCCACAGGTTCCAGCCCTCAGCCTGTGGGCCACGAGCATCAGGGCAGTTTTCAAAGCCTTCGTGCCATCTGCTGTCCCAGTCTGTCTGGGTGTGCACCGCCCAGGGCTCAGCCTGGGCGCTGGGCGGCTAGTTCAGTTCTCCGAGTCTTTGGCAGGTCAGAGTATGGTGTGAGGACCAGATTCACACGTGCACGATTCTAGAGCTCTCTGGAGACATAATGACTCCGTGGGGTGGCTTTCCTGGGCTCCTCACGTGTTGCTCACTAGCCGGTACTTTCCAGTTCCCTGGGCCTTCTTGGGTCCTGTGGCCACAAATGTGGGACTCTGGTTCCGCACTCTGTCGTGCCGTCTGCCATTGGGCCCCGTTCTCGCCTCAGTGGAGGGAGGACAGAGGAAGGAGCAGCAGGGTCGCCCCACCCTCTCGGGACAGAGCTAGCACCACAGGACGGACTGGGGTCTGGGACGTGAGGGAACAGAAAGGGGGGCGGGGGGATTCCCTGCTCCCTCTGAGTGTCAGGAGTCCCCTTCCTACCCTAGAGCCCAGCTAGGGTCCCTGTCTGCTCCTCGGCGCTCACTTCCACTCCCAGATTTCCGCTGCGCCTCCCTGTCTGGGGGACAGGTGGGGTCAGGACGCTGCTCACTGGCGGCTCTTCCATGGTCCGCCAGCTGCTGTCTGTAGAGTCACCCCGTAGCCGCCGGGCATTCTGCCCGGGTTTCATGGCCGTAGTCAGTGGCAGAGGAAGGGGGAGGTGAGCCTCCCCTGCCTCGTCTGCGGCTGCCTTCCCCCCACCCCTGCCGTGGGCACCGGCCTCAGGGCTGCTGTTCAGGTGCCTGGGATGGGTGTGCCCGTTTCTGACTGTCCCAGGCGGTGCCCGTGCTTACTCATCCCCAGTCGTGCGTTTGCGACGTCCCCCTTACCTGGGTCCAGATTTCTGGAGGGCCGTCTCCGGGCGTGGGACTGCGGGTGAGAGCACTTCCCAAAGAGATTCTTCCAGCGCACTTAGTGCAAACCTGTTTGCTTTCTTCCCTCGTAAGCCCTGGAGCGAGACAGTGACCTTGCTAACCACGGTCCCCTCCTGCCTGGGGACCCTTGTCTGACTTGTTCACTGAGCCCAGAACACAGTCTGCCTGGCTCTGGGGTGCCTGGGGTAGGAGAGCAAAGCCCTGGGAATGTGGGGGTCCCAACCACGGCCCTCGCGGCACATGGCCCTGCCCAGAAGGACCCCGCTCCTCCCCGGGGGTCAGCACAAGGCAGGTGTTAGAGCCCCACCTTCCCTTCCTGAGATTGTAGAGCTGGCGGCTGAGTCAACATTTGCTCCCAGATTCGGACAATCTGGATGGAGCCACGCATTCACGCGGCCGATCCCTCGGCAAACATCTCTTCGGCACCCGCCCCGGGGAGGGCACCAACTTCGGGTGGCCCGGTCATGCCTCAGTTGGGAAGGCCACTTGTCCTGATCGCTACCTGCCAGGCCAAGACTAGCCTGTGGGCTGGGCGGCCTTGCGGCTCCACTTCTGGGCCTTCCTAAGCAGCATCGTGACCTCGGTGCTCAGTTACAGAATGCCACTGGGGCATCCCGCTCCCCAGCAGAGGGGAGTTAGGGGCTGTCACAGTCAGGTGGTGTGCTGAGGGCCCTGGGGGTGAGACGGGTGACATCCCAGCACTCAGGATCCTGGAGCCCGGGCTGGCAAGGGCCCCAACGCCGCGCGCAGACGCCGTTCTCAGTGTGGACGTGGCAGTGAGCAGCCCCACCCGGCCCTCACCGGGGAGGCACAGAGACAGACAGACACACGCAGGGTGGCTGTGTACCCTGCAGGATCAGGGGGCCGCCTGCCGGGTTGAGGCCCGCGAGAGGCCAGTGTGGCTGGAATCAAGTGAGCGAGGGACAATGACAGGAGGTGAGGGTGGGGAGGTGACAGAGCCAGACCCCACAGGGCCTTGCCCAGTTCCTTGCCTCTCTCGGGGTTGTCACTCACTTGGCACCTCAGTTTTCCGGCTCCCCTCAGAGTCAGCAAACTGGCGAAGGGCTTCTGTCTGTCCCCGTGGTGCTTTCGGACACTCACGTTAAAGACTGGACAGACTTCCCTACTTCTCTGCATGCAGGAAACGCGGGCCCTCCACCACGGTGGCACAGCTGGAGCCGGCGTTTGGCCCCAGGCGTCCAAGTTGGTGACCCTTGGCTCGCTTGCCGGCGTGGACATGGCCTCGTGCGGCATGGCACTATGGAGTGCTGGTCCCAGCTGCAGCCCTGGCACTTCCTCCACCAGCCCCTAGGTGGCCTCCCCTCTGTGCCTCAGTTTCCTCATCTCTAAAATGGGCACAAGGAGAGGTGCTGCAGCATCTCGGCTCACTCAGGGCGGGCTGGGAGGAGTAGGCCCATCGCTCTGGTGTGAGTTTCTTATCGCACTTTCAGGTGTGCCCTGGTTTGCACAGTGGGTCGTAGTCCCTCAGGTCATCTCAGTCACAGCCGCAGCCCCACAGGTTGCCAAAGCACGCGTGTGGCAGCGCCTGGCACAGAGGAAATGCTCAGTGAGCTCAGCCGCTGTGACTGATTGGTTTTGGTTGTTAGTTTGGGTGTAGGGTTCTCAGGCTTCAGGGCAGGGAGGAAGCAGGGAAGCAGGGAAGGACCAGGGCCCAGGAAGCTCCACCTTTAACAGTCCCTGGGGGATGGGGGACCAGTGGCCTCCCCAAGAGGCCAAGAGGAGAAACAGATTCCAGGAAAAGTAAGCCGGGCCTGATCCGAGAGAGCCCAGGTCAGCCCATCAGGTGAGCAGGGACTGGCCCAGGGCCACAAGCACAGGGACCGGCCGCCAGGCGTGCCTGAGGCTTCCTGGCAGCTCCCGGAGGGAGGGCGCAGTGCCCCAGACGGCTCTCAGAGGGGACTCCGGGCACCGCTACAGTGCCCGGCCCCAGTGTGGGCTGAGGCCTAGAGGGTGGACCCGCAGTGTCCAGCTCAGTGTCCAGCAGGCCCTGGTGTGCAGGCCGGATGGGGGCGGCTGAGCCTGGGACCCTCGGCCAGCTGTGTGTTGGGGGCGGGGGGAGTCCTGAGCCAGAGCGGGGCTCCCCCAGCTCAGGGGATGCCCAGGACGGGGAACCACTTGGAGGTGAGAAGGGCAGTGAGAATGGGGTGGCCGGGAGGTCGCACAGCGTGGTGGGGGCAGTGGCTGGTGAGGCAGGGGCCTCCCCTCATGCCCAGCTGCTGCCCCCAGGTCAGCGCCAACGGCAACGTCCTGCGCAGCGAGATCGTGGGCTCCATCAAGATGCGCGTCTTCCTCTCGGGCATGCCCGAGCTGCGCCTGGGCCTCAACGACAAGGTTCTCTTTGACAACACGGGCCGTGAGTACCCTCGGCTGTGGGCGGGCAGCAGGCAGCCCCGAGCAGCTGCCGGGCCCCGTGAGGAAGGCTTCATCGGGCACATGCTCAGAACCGAGGGAATGTTGGCCCGGGTGAAGGAGCAAGCTGGTTGTGAGCGCTTGGTTTAGGAACATTTCACGTTGCTTTAAACACGACCATGACCATTAATCCCTGGGTACAGCAGGCACAGGAGAGTGAAAATCCTAAAGTCAGGTCCCCTGGTGGCCCAGGTGAGCCTCACGGAGCGTCCCAGAGCGGGTCCTCCACCTGCCCTGCGCTGTCTTCTCGGGAGCTGAGCCGCCAGGGCTCAGGCTCAGGCCTCGTTCTCTGGTCCCTCCAGGGCCCAGTTCCCCCCTCACCTCCTGCCCTGCATCCGGGCTGTTTGAATCCCACACGCTGGGATTTGGGCTCTCCCCACCTGGCTCTTAGCACTTCTTGCGGCAGGGCAGTGGGCAGTGTGAGCTCAGGGCCCTGGACGAGGGCTCGGTGGCCCGCCTGTGCCCACATTCCTGGCCGGGGGGGCTTCTCGGGCACTAGCCCATCGGGGCAGCTCCCCGCCCAGGGACCCAGCCCACACAGCCCCTCGGTGGGGTGGGAAACCAAGACAGGACCCAGGACCCAAGGGGTGCCAGGCCTGGGCCCTCGGGGAGCTCCAAGCCATCCCCCACCGAGTCCCTCTCTTGAGCAGCACCCAGCTGGGCCCTGGGCTCCCTCCTGGGGACTCGGTGTGAGCCACGCAGACCAGCTCTGCTTCCGGGGACGCCAGCGGGGTGAGGAGTGACGGGCAGTTGTCTCAAAACCCAGCCCCCTTGGCGTTTGTGGCCCAGGATGCTTTCACAGTGTGGGCTGGGGGCTGTGCTCTGCTGGGCAGTGGGAGGCTGCTGAGAGAGGGACCTGGAGGGCCCAGGGTCTGTCCTACCCTCACTTCAGGTGGCAAAAGCAAGTCCGTGGAGCTGGAGGACGTGAAGTTCCACCAGTGCGTGCGGCTATCACGCTTCGAGAACGACCGCACCATCTCCTTCATCCCCCCCGACGGCGAGTTTGAGCTCATGTCCTACCGTCTCAACACCCACGTGCGTGCGCAGACCCCAGCAGGGCACGGGCATCGGGGCAGCCTCCCTCCCGCTCCCAGTGGGCGAGCGCCCGTCCCCATGGTGAAGCCCAGGGCAGGCGCAGGGCCCGGCCCCGCCCCAGACTCCACAGGTGGCCTGACGACAGAGAGCTCTGAGCTTCCTGGGGGGACACCCTTCCTCGGGCCACCGCTGCCCCTCTCCCAGGCAGCCTCCCCAGAGCAGGCCCCAGGCACGTGTTCCACGTTGGCACGGAGGCCCTGGCAGCACCCTGCGGCTTCAGTCTTGGCGCTCCGACCCGTCCTCATGCCGGCTGTGCACCCCCTTAGGGGCCCCACTCAGCAGCGTGCTGGACCCACACGTGGGCAGAGGGTCCCTTGCCCTGGGCCTCGGTTTCCCCTCTGTGAGACAGGGCTCTGTAAAACGCAGCCGGGCGTGAGCGCCGTCCTCACCCTCCCCCGCAGGTCAAGCCCCTGATCTGGATCGAGTCGGTGATTGAGAAGCACTCCCACAGCCGCATCGAGTACATGATCAAGGTGTGCGGCGTCCGCCCCCGCCAGGGCGTTCCGGTGTCTCTGGCCCTTTCAGGGCCTTTGGCACGGGGTGCTGACCTGGGGCTGGGGGTGCCGTGGGCCGGGCACTGAGAGGAGACCCACCCAGGGCCTGCCCTTAGACGGTGCTGCCTCCTGCAGCCAGGAAGGCCTCCTGGAAGTGCTGCCCGCCAGTGCCCCTCGGTGACTCCGTCTAGCTCAGGCCGGCCTTGGGGACACAGATGTTGTCCTGGGGGCTATGGCTGAGCCACAGGGAGGGATGGGGAGCCTGGAAGGCCGAAGGGACCGGAGGGCAGAGATTGAACTTCCGGGATCAGGAGCTGGGAGGGTCTTGGGCGTGAGGGGCTGTGGGCAGTGCCTGCAGAATCCGGGGGAGGTGGCGGGGGCAGGGCATCGCACGGGCCAGGCTGAGGGGTGTGCGCCGTCTGGGGCCGTCTCACCTGCTCCCTCCCAAACCCCGTCTGCAGGCCAAGAGCCAGTTCAAGCGGCGGTCGACAGCCAACAACGTGGAGATCCACATCCCTGTGCCCAACGACGCGGACTCGCCCAAGTTCAAGACGACGGTGGGCAGCGTCAAGTGGGTGCCCGAGAACAGCGAGATCGTGTGGTCCATCAAGTCCTTCCCGGTGAGCGCCATTCTCGGCCCAGCACCCGCGCCCACGCGCTCCACCTGCCCGGTTGGGCACAGCGCCTGTCTGCTGCAGCGTCCCTGCGCCTCTAGACGGGTGACGATCCCCCCGTGTTCCCCACGCCTGGGGCTGCTGGGAGGGTGGGGGCGGGGGCATGGAGGGCTCGAGGACCAGGCTGGGCGGGAGGGAAAGCAGGGGGAGGCAGAGGCTGGCGCAGCCTGGCGGCCCTTCCGCACCTCCCTCTTGTTGGGGAACCCGCCTCCGTCTTCAGCCTCAGGGCAGCACCCCATCCTCCCACGCTTCCTAGTACTACGGGAGATGTGGCGTCTGTCTCTGTCCCCCCAACCCACAGAGAAGGACCCTCCCCTCCCCCCGACACTGGCAGGCAGACTTGACCGGACCGAGGGCACCAGCCCATCCCGGCCCCACCCCAAGGCGGGCTCAGGCTCAACTTCCCTCGAGGGGCACAGGCTGCCTTGAGGGGAGAGCCGCGCAGCTTCCAGAGTCTGGCACCAGCTCCAGGAAAGTGCGTCTCGTGTCCTGTGCCAGCCCCGTGCGCTGCTGTGGCTGCCGGGCACCGTGTGAAGGGTTCTGAGGACTCGAGTCTGCGCGTGCGGCATCCCCGGTGCAGGGAGGCGGGAGCCTGGCGCACTCCGGCGCCGACTTGGGCGTCCTAAGCCACTCCGCTCCGGGGGCAGGCTCCTGGGCAGTCGCTGGTGTCCGTGTTCTCTCGGGATCCCGGGGGGACCCGGGGACAGTGCCAGCTGAGTTAAAGAAGCTGGAAAGGCAGCAATTCGAGTGCCTGGATGCTTGTATGTTAGTACTTTCCCTCGAAACCATGATACCATCACATGAGAGAAGATACGGAAAATAGAGCAAGGGGAGAAAAGCCCATAATCCCACCACCGCGGCGCACTGCTATTAGCCTTTGAGCGTGTCCCGTTCTGAGCTTTCTTTCCGTGTGTTTCGTTTTACATAGTTGCAAACAAGGAGTGGAGCCACTCTGGCGCCCTCTCTCACCCAGGCCGCATGAGAAGCGTTCGCCCTCTGGTCGCCAGCTCAGCGGTCAGCCTGGCGGCCGTGGAATACCCCACAGGGGGCGGCAGCCATCCCGGTTGTCAGACTGTCTCCCCTTCCCTCTAGATGCCCCTGCTTAAAATAGTGTTTATATTTTAAAACACAACAGGAGAATAAATCACAAAATGAACAGCGCGGTTAGCAGACTGCAGGGAGGAGGGGCAGGACCACGCCAGCCAGCGTGGACTGTGCCTTGCGTCGTAGACTGGTCCTGAAACACGGACTGGCGCTCCTGGTCTTGCCGTGCTGCGCAGAGACTGCGTTTTTACAAATCGAAGGTTCGCGGCAACCCTGCGTCTCGCGGTTCCGCCAGGGCCACGTTTCCCGCAGCACGTGCTCGCTTCGTGGCTCTGCGTCAGCGCTGTTTAGCAGTAAAGTATTTTCGAGTACGGTGCATGCATTGTTTTTCCAGACACTACGCCGTCGCACGCTTCATAGACCGTCTTGTAAACATAACTTTTATGTGCACTGGGGAACCGAAAAATGTGTGCGACTCGCTTTATTGCGATACTGGCCTTATTGCAGGGGTCTGGAACCAAACCTGCGTGTCTCTGAGGTGTGCCTGTACGTGTTTTGCATGAATATAAAACAAAATTGAACCGAAACGGGAAAAAAAGGAATTCTTAAAAATCAAAGCAAAATGAACTCACCAGTGTAGCAAGGTGATGATCACCACACAGAGACGAATTACTCGCTCTATTTATCTGTGTGTCTGTATGCTAGTGCCGTGTGGTTTTGAATACCGTAGCTTCGTAGAGAATTTTGAAATCAGGAAGTGTGAGTCCTCCAGCTTTGTTCTTTTTCAAGGTTGCCTTGGCTATGCAGTTCCTCGTTCTTTTCACGGCCGCACAATGTTCCCCCGCGTGGCCGTTTATTCGCTCTGTAGTCAGCCATCCCCCACTGACGGGCGCCGGGTTGTTCATAATCTCCAGCTTTAGAGAGGCCACTCCGATGATTAACCTTGCGCATATGTTGTCCAGCGGTCTTGGACGTGTAGGTTCCAGAAGTGGGATTGTTGGGTCAAAGGTTACACAGATCTGAAATTTTCCTGGATCGTGCCAAATTCCCTAATTTTGCATTCCCCTGGCACTGTCTCCAGAGCTTTCCCAGCCGAGTCGCAGGTGAGCTTTCAGACGTCCTCCCGTCAGAGGGTATCTCTGTGCCGCTCTAATCTGCTGTTCTCTTGTTAAAAACAAGACGGAGCCACTTTTCTTATCTCCAAGGGCTGTTTGCATTTCTTTTTCTGGAAACCATAGTTGTCTCTTGCTCATTTTTCTGTCAGGTTTGGTCACTTTCTTCTCAGTTTCCAAGAACTCTTCGTATACAGGCAAGATCGAAGATTGACACTTTTTCTTTGATGTAGGTTCCAAGTAATTTTCCCCAGTTTGGTGTTTGTCTTTCGACTTCCCTTCCGGGGTTTTGGGCTGCACGACCTTTTTGTGACTGCTGCTTTGTTTGTTGTTGGTGTTGTTTAATGCAGTCACATTTCCCAGCCTTTCTCTTATGTGGTGTCTGGACCCGAAGTCGGACTTTGAAAGGCTTCCCCTCTCCCAGTGATAAAGGAATTCACCCGTGTTTGCTTCTAGAACCTGTGCAGTGGCATTTTTCTCCTTAGATTTTAGGTCCTTTTGGAGCATGGTCTGGTAACTGGGATGCGGTTACAGATCATTTTTTTTCTTTCTCTAAATGACCATCCAGTTACCTAATATTTACCAAAAAGTCCATCTCTTCCCCAGTGGTTTGAGAAGCCGCGTTCATCAAGTATCACATTTTCATGTGGCATCAGGTCCATTTCTGAACTTCCTCTTGTCGGTCTGTCCACGCGGCAAGGCCACGTTTTAACTCGAGGCTTTATTCGGGTTTTATATCTGGCAGGCCCCACGCCACACCCATGGCTCCTCTCTCTCCTGGTTTTCCTAGTGATTCTTGTTTGTTTCATTTCCCTTACGAACTTTTTTTTTTTTAAGACAGAGTCTCACCGTGTTGCCTTGGCCAGAGTGCAGTAGCGTCATAGTAGCTCACTGCAACCTCAGACTCCTGGGCTTAAATGATCCTCCTGCCTCAGGCTCCCAAGTGGTTGAGACTACAGGTGCACACCACGACACCCGGCTAATTTTTCTATTTTTAGTAGAAGCCACCTCAGCCTCCCAGAGTACTAGGATTACAGGTATAAGCCACCATGCCCTTTTCCTTATGAACTTTAGACTTCATGTGTCTGCACAAAATTTATAAGTTAATTGGAAAGAATTAATACCTTTACAGGCTGAGCACAGAGGCTCACACCGATAATCATAGCAATTTGGGAGGCTGAGGCGGGAGGATCACTTGAAGCCAGGAGTTGGAGACAAGCCTGGGCAACATAGCAAGACCCTGTCTCTACGAAAAAATAGAAAAATTAGCCAGGTGTGGTGGTGCACACCTGTAGTCCCAGCTACTAAGGAAGCTGAGGCAGTAGAATCACCTGAGCCCAGGAGTTGGAGGCTGCAGTGAGCTATGATGACACCACTGCACTCCAGCCTGGGCAACAGAGTGAGACCTTGTCTCAAAAAAATAAAATTAGACTGTCTCCACTAGCCTGTCCTAGGCTCATGTTCGTGCCTTTTGGGGATGTTTTAACGTTTACCTTATGTACCTGGTATGGGGTTTCCCACAGTTTTCAGAAGCACTTTTGTTAAAGGATGACATGCCGCATACACGCAGAACAGCACACAAATGAGATGTGCACGGCTCGGGGAGTCTCCTCAGAGTGAACGCATCGCGGATCTGGGCCCACATAACAGCCACAGAACACCCCCTGTCCCGGGAGCCCCTAGACCCACCCCTGGTGTGGGGCATTTGTCATTAAGATGACTTTTAATTCTGTGTTTTTAGTAAATGTAGCCTTCTCTTCCACGTTCTCATCCAGCAGGTTGCTGATGTTTGTACAGTCATTTTATGTCCCCGTAGCTTACTGACTGTTCTCGCTTGTGGTAGCCTTTCTCTAGTTCTCCTGGGTTTTCAGATATGCTCTCATATCGTTTGCGGCCAGATGCGGTTTTTCCCCTTCCTCTCCTATTCTTGGACATCCGATGGCTTCTGGCATCTCATTGCTTTGGCAGCTGCCTCAGGGCCTGTACGTGGGGGGAAAGGGTGGCCTTCTGGCCTTGGCCCTGACCGGAACCCCCAGGTTTTCTTCTCCCAGTGCTGCTGCAGCTCTGGGCTGCAGACTCAACGCCGCCCTGCTCCGCTGTGTCTGCAGCACACGTGGGTGATGAGCGTGGCCACGTCCCCCTCAGTGTCTCTGTCGGTGATCGTGGTTCTTCTGCTCTGACCTATTAATGAGATGGATCTGGAACCATCCGTGCATTCCGACAAGCTCCGCCAATGCACCATTGAATTCTGTTGGCCAGCATTGTATTTCAGATCTTTGCGTTGATATTTACAACTGGGATTGTTTTTTTTTTTTTTTTTTTTTTTTTTTTTTGAGACAGAGTCTCTGTCACCCTCGGTAGAGTGCAGTGGCGTCATCACAGCTCACTGCAACCTTAAACTCCTGGGCTCATGCAATCCTCCTGCCTCAGTCTCTCGAATAGCTGGAACTACAGGTACTCACCACCACGCCCAGCTAATTTTTCTATTTTTAGTAGAGACAGGGTCTCCCTCTTCCTCAGGCTGGTTTCAAACTCCTGAGCTCAAACAATCCTCCCGCCTCGGCCTCCCAGAGTGCTAGGATTACAGGTGTGAGCCACCGCGCCCGGCCCTGGGGTTACGGTCTCCATCACGTTTAGTATTGATGTTGTCCCTGATTTGTAATGTTTTTGTCTTCTCCATGCTGCAGAACAGCGTAAGTGGCCTTGAGATCGGTCTTGAACAAGTTGATACTTTTGTGCAACCATCTACATCTTTGCTATGCTCTTCTCTTTTCTGTGGAAATAGGGTCATTTAAAGTTTCTATTCTGTTGGACTCAGTTTGGGTAAATTATATTTTCCTAGAAAATTATTGTGCCTGGCCAGATTTTTTAATTTGTCTACACGTAGTTGTAGAAAATACTCTTTTTTTTTTCCTTCTCTTACGACAGTGATTTTTCCCTGGCTATCTCCTGTTTTGCCTTTTTGTGTCTTCCCTTTTTCTTGATCAGATTACCTAGTGGTTTGTCTGTCTGTTTCCAGATTTTGCTTTTTAATCTGTTGTATTATTTTCCTGTTTTCCAAGTCTTTAATTTTAATGTCTTCATCATTTCTTTGTTCTGATTCTTACTTTTTGAGTTAGATGTTTAATTCCTTTATTTTTATTTTTAAATTTGTATTGATATAAGTATTTAAGCCACAGCTATTTCTCCGAGCCCCACCTTAGCCATATAACCCATAGATTCTGACATGTAATATTTGATGTCATTATTTTCTAGAACTTCTATAATTGATTAGAGAGGTTTTTTTTTTTACATTTCCTGGTCGAAGGGCCTTTTTGTCTTCACATTTTCTCCGCACTCTGGAGTTGGTGCCCTGAGGTCAGAGAATGCTATTTGTACTATTTCTGCCTTTTAGAATTTACTGCGGTGTCCTTCGTGCGCTGGTAAAAGGTCAGTGTTTGTAAACATCCCACATGGACTTGAGGGCACGGCAAGGCCTTTGTCACAGGGCAGCGAGTGCGGCACGCGTGCCTGCGCGGTGTCGGCCGGGCGGAGCTGGGCTGGGCCTCACCTCCGGCCTCTCTGCAGCGCTCGTGGCATCTGCTTTACCAGGTCTCTGCGTATCGTTGGGTGCACAGATAGTTGCAGCTGCGCATCTTCCCGTGGCTTACAGGACTGTGGCCTGTCCTCCTCGGTGCCTGTGATTGTGCCCTGTGGTGACAGCAGCCCCTGTCCTGTTCTTGCTGCTGACTGCCACACCTCTGCCCATCCTTTCTCCTCTTTCATTTTTTTTTGCTTGCATTTTCCCTTCAGTCTCGGGCAAGGTTCAGATGGCTGGTCTGGTTGGGCGTTCCTTGCCTGGGCCGGCAGAGCGCCCTTATTGCTTTGCAGCCTGCTTTGTTGGTTGCTGATGTCACATTTTTCTTCCCTCGCTTTCCCGGAGCCTTTACTCGGCACATGTCACCAGGTCGAGCAGAGTCCTCACTCTCGTGCTGGCTGTGGTGGCAGCAGGCGGAGGGTGGCCACTCCCTGCAGCCCAGGGAAGGAGCCGCGGCGCCGCCCTGCTCTGCTCCGGCTCTCGAGGCCCCGTCTCTGCGGCAGATGCAGCCCTGGTCGGCAGCTCCCGCTGAGCCGCGGCCAGACCCCTGGGGATCAAAGACTGTGACGTCCCGGGTGTAACCAGAGCGCAGATCGTACCTCCCCTGCGCAGGGCAAGACCAGGCGCTGGGGACAGCCAGGCTGAGACCTGTTGTTCCTCAAGGCAGGGAGAGGACAAAGGTCCCAGCCAGGACGTGGGTTCCAGTTCCTGCTCTGACCCACATCTCTAAGTCATTGCTGAGTCCTGGGGCCAGAGCTGCTGCCTCCGCACCTTCAGAAGCAGGAACCTGGTCTGTTCCTGCTCCGTCACTCACCAGCGTCCTTGGTGTCTGTCTTTTGTTCATGTTCCTCATTTCGACATTTCTCCTTTCTTTCCCATGTCCTCCTGAGACTGGATGTCTGGCCTGGGATGCGGGGCCCCGTGTCCCCTGGCAGCCCTCGCCTGCCACTGTCGTTACACAGCCCCCCTCCCGCCTCCCCCTTCCCAAGGCCAGTCTGTCGGGTCCATCAGGCTTGGAGGGTGGTGTGTTAAGGGAACAGGGGTGCTGGGCGGCCACAGGCCACACAGGAAGGGGCTTGGTGACCAGGGCTGGCAGCCTGGCGAGCTCAGCTCCGAGCACCTGGGCGTCCTCCAGGGCCAGGGCCTGGGCCTGACGGCTTCCACCTTCATCTGCTCCCCAGGGCGGCAAGGAGTACCTGATGCGGGCCCACTTCGGCCTGCCCAGCGTGGAGGCCGAGGACAAGGAGGGCAAGCCCCCGATCAGTGTCAAGTTCGAGATCCCCTACTTCACTACCTCCGGCATCCAGGTACGTGCGGCCAGCACTGCCAGGGCCCCGGAGCAGAGACAGACAGACCCAGGGCTGGCCGGTGACAGATATCAGCACGCCTAGCTCAGAGAAGGTGCTAGTCCGCTTGTCCCAGGACCCCCCGGTGTCGCCAGGCTCTGCTTCTCCTCGCAGGCCGCCTAACCGAGAATCCAAGCCACGTCTGCTCAGACCTGCCCTGTGCTTGGGCTCGAAGCTCAGAGACTCATTCTGCCTCGAAACTAGCGTTTGAGGCTCTGCTGCCCACACGCACTTGGTCCACGTGGGGCCTGTTTTCGTGGCACCTCCTGGAAAGCCCAGGGCAGGAGAGACCCACGGAGAACCGGAGACCTTCCAGGGCCGGGGCCCCTTGCCCAGTGGCGGCCTAAGGGCCATGTCCACGAGCAGGTCCTGGCTCCTCACACATCTTCCCTCCACGGCCTCCCCACCTGCCCCAGGAGGGATGCGTAGGGGGGTCCCAGAGGGGAGGGAGCCCGTGCGTGCTCAGGGCCCTGGTCCCTGTGCTCCAGGTGCGCTACCTGAAGATCATCGAGAAGAGCGGCTACCAGGCCCTGCCCTGGGTCCGTTACATCACTCAGAACGGAGGTGAGTGTGGCCCCACCTGTGGGAGGGGGACTCCCTGAGGGGCCTGAGGTGCAGCCCCAGCTCCCAAAGCCTTGCGGGGCACCCTCCCTCCCTGGTGCGAGGCCGAGGATGGACACCTCCCCCTGTCTCCTAGATTACCAGCTCCGGACCCAGTGAGGGCCACCGCATCCCACGCCCCGGCCCTGGCCTGGGGCTCCTGGTGGACACACCTGCCGAGCCCACCTGATGGAGGAGCACTCCCTGGCCTCTGGCTACCCTCCCGGCCTCCGCCCAGGGACCCCTCCTTCTCCAGGCCACCTGTCCTGCGTTGACTCTCGCCTCAAAAGCCCCTTTCCCAGAAGAGGCTCGTCTTAAAGAAGTCTCGTCTGTTCGCCCTCCAGTCAGTTTCGGGGGAAGGAAATGACATCTTCCCCTCTGGACATAAACTACAGCCTTCTGTGCTGTTGCGTTCACGGTACCAAAAAGCTCGTCCAGCGCTCGCCAGACCTCCCGTTGCGGTGGCATCCTGCCGCCTGGGAAAGCACCCGCCGCGCCAGGCCTGCAGGGCCGTCGTTTGTTGCCATTTTGTTGCCCGTTACAGGCTATGGGTGTTTCCAGAACTCGCCTTTGTTCATTGTTGTTTGTGTTACCCTCACCGTCCCGTGTCCCCCCACGTCCTAAGGCACTCAGGCAGCACTTAGCGAGGACAAGCCCTCGCCCTCCATGCTTGCTCAGCGACAGGGCCCCCTCGGGGCCCATTTACACGTCAGGCCAGAGCCCGGCACTCGCTGGCCTCCTTGGAGGCCCTGGCCTGACTCTCAGGCTCGCCGTGGCGCCTTCCCGGGGCCAGCCTGGGCCGCGCGGCGCCGCCACTCAGCCAGATCAGTGTTTGCCCCCAGGGGAAGTGGAGCCCAGTGAGGGGTGCTGGCCTCAGCCATCCTCCTGCCGCGGGTCCAGAGAGCGGGGGACGCGTGTCCCACCCTCCCCACCCTGTGCGTGTTCGAGTCGTGGTTACATTAAATTCCATTCATTAAATACGCCTCCTGCCTTCCCTCTGACGCAGCCTGGGACCGACTCCTCCGGGTGACCACAGGCAGATGTGGGGCTCAGCTTGCCTGGCTCTGTCGCTGACCCCCATGTGGCCCCACGACGTACCACCAGCTCCCAGCACCTCCACTTCCCCCGCTGAAAAATAAGAACAAGCAGTCGTGGGACGGTGCCCCCGCCGCATGGGACCGCCAGGGCCGCACAGAGGAGGGCGCACAGGCAGGCTCCTGGCATCTCCTGTGAGGTGGTTATTGCGACCTGCTCAGCCCTCAGATCACCAACAGCTCGTCCCCATCACCCCCCAGGCCCTGGGAGCTTGCTAGAGACGCAGGTTCGTGGGCCTACGTGACCTGCCAAAGCAGAGGCCCAGGGTGAGGGCCCGGGAAACGTTGAAGCAGCTCCCAGGCGAGCCTCTACCCCCTGTAGTTTGACAACCACTGCCTGGTCCGCAGTGGGGGAAGCAGCACATGGGCAGGAAGTGCCACCTGCGTGCTCGTCCCCTGCCCCTCCGGCGCTGGTGTCCCGCCTGGCCGGCCCCCTCTTGCCTTTGAGGGCTTTGTTCTCTCCCTCTCTCTCCCGTCATCGAGCTCCCCCTGGATGTCTAGCGGGCATCTAACAGAGCCAAAGTGGAATCTGGGCCTCCCGCCCGTGTAGTCTTCCCCACCATGGCAAACGCCACCGCCCAGCCCAGGGCTCCGGCCAAAGCCCTCAGGCCCCTGCGCACCCCCACATCTGCAGCAAGTCCTCACGGCCCCCTCCAGAAGACCCTGGGCCCAACCCCATTTGCCATCCTCACTGTCAGCCCCGGGGGCCCAGCGTCAGGAGCCTCCCAGCACAGGGGGCGGTGGGCTGCAAGGCAGGGCAGGGGCTGTGTTTCCGTAATGCGCTAGCATGGCCTGAAAACCCTCCCACCACGGACACAGAGACACGTGTATGAGAAGATGTGCGTGGCTGCTCCCGTGAGAAAGCAAGGGGAGCTGCTGGCACCCCGGCGGAGGAGCAGCACGAGCCGGCGCTGCCCTTGCTCTCAGAGACCAGCGGGTTTGGGTTTAAGGGCTGGTTGGTGACGCGCAGTGCGGACTCCTGCGTGGAGCTGAGAGCCTGGGAGAGTGAGTCATGGTTGTGCTCACAGTTTGAAAAGATAGACTAGAAGAGACATTTGCCCCCCAGCCCTGGCAGATGGCACCACTCGCTCTCTTGGCCTGAGACACGGTGCAGAAAAAGACCTCCTGAAATCTGGCCGCCGGCAGCTTAGAGCAGAAACGTACGCTCTCTGTGGTCTGGAGACACCTGAGCCCAGACCATCTTGACACAAAACCTCTCTGGAGGGGCAGAATTTCAACCCTTGTCACCCACGGTCCTCGAGTGCAATCCACCCTAAACATGAGGACACGTCCCGAAATTTTAAAAACTCGTGAGTGAGAGTGGACGATGAAGTCAGATCCTCGGGAACTTTGTGCAAGATCATCAGACTTGTGAATAGGCCACGTGGTCACAGGCAAAAGAAAGACTCCAGTGAGACAGGAACGAAAGGCCATCAAGACTGGCTTCTCCGGCGTCTAACAGGGCAAGTCATTTGCATCCAGATTATTCAGACAGCTCCTGCACATCAGCTAGAAGCAGAAAGAACCCAACAGAAAATGGGAAATGTGTGAACAAACAATACCAAGGAGATGAGGTACGCATGGAAAATTAACACGAAACGATGTTCAGCCTTGTAGGCAATTAAGGAAATAAACCACAATTAGATGCTATTTAACACGCATTAAATTGACCAATTTTAAATTGACAATTTTTTAAGTCTGATAAAACCAGATATTGGTGAACAACTAGAGCTACAGAAATATGTACGCTGCTAATAGTTGTATAAATTGATATAATCACTTTTAAAAATTGGCAAGACTAGCAGAGTTAGCAGGTCCATTTACCTGCAGACCAGCAGACCAGCAGTCTCATGCCTGGGTACGAACTCTCACCCCTTCTCGGACGGTGTTCTGCAGGAAAGCAAAGCCTGTGTCCTAAGGCATCTGTTGTAGGTAATGAATTAACCTCTTTCCTACACGTCTGGAGCACAGCAGCTGTGTGGGAAAGTTGAGATCATAGTCCCTGAAATCATTTTCTATATGCCAGAATTTTCTCATAGAATTCTAGTCGAGAAATGCCCTGAGAAGCCCATGCACAAATACGGGCAGAAATACCACTCATACAGTCACATTCTAGCAGCGGAGTTCGTGACAGCGAAAAAATTGGAAAGCAACCAACGTCCTTCAATAGAACAGATCATTGCGGCCTCTTCACACAGATTGTAGCAGTGAAAAGGAATTAAGTTAGACCAATGATACGGTTCAGAATGAATCTTAACATTGAGGCTGGGCGCGATGGCTCACACCTGTACTCCCAGCACTTTGGGAAGATCACTTGAGGCCAGGAGTTTGAAACCAGCCTGGGCAACAGAGTGAGACCCCGTCTCCACAAAAAATAATAATAAAAA